TTTTTGATCGCATAAAATCTTTGTAAGAGTCTTTCAAGACTTTAAATACATTTTTTTTTAAAAACAACCATAAAATTTTATATATAATATAAAAAACTTGTATTATAGCAATACTGTATTACAAAAGTGTAAGGCACATTATCACAAGCTGCTTTTTTGGCACATTAAAAATTGTATCATGTACCACATTGTCTAAACATGATTTCTGGTTGTCATCCTTCCACGTTTTAGTAGTGTAGTTATATTCTTATTCTCCTCCACTGCAGCAGTATGCATGAGTGTGAGAGTCACTCTTGAAAGGGCACCGGCCCCACAGGGGGCCCCCCCCTGCCTGGGACCCGCAGCCTGCCATCCATCAGAACAACACAGTTAGCAAAAACACTCGGCTGCAACCTGCCAAAACCCACAGTAGTAATCGGTACATCTCCAACCTATAAAGCTAGAGAGGTGGGGAGCTGTGTGGGTAAGTACAGTTAACTCACTGCTTGTTAATATGGTATATTTAAAATGCACTATTGTTCTCGTTCTAATACCGCCCTCTTCAGTGTGTCTCTCACTGTTCTAATTTTTCATTCTGTAGGGTCTTTAAGACTCAATAAAACAATTTAAGAGTGTCGATAATATAATCTTTCATATGCCCCAAATCCAATTCTACCCATGATTGAAAACATTGGCCGGACAGAGGTGCCTTTTATTCTTCTGCACTCTACATCATCCAAAACAAGTCTACAAAATATGCTCTCTTGGAATAAAATACTGAGGACTACCACCTGAAAGCGCAAGAAAAAACATCATCAAGAAACTACAAAGCAGATGCGACAGATGAGATTTAAATGCAATTTAGAAATAGGAAAAATATGGATTTTCCAATCTGCTTTGTGGAAGCAGCGCCCACTAAAACCCCATCAAATTGTCAGAAGTTCCCCAAGGCTCACCCTCAGGTCCTTTTCTAATTTGTTGCTCATGCTGAATTTGGTGTTTGAAGCACATCAGCAGAGTTAAAACAACATATTTACATTAGGAACAAAGGATTTGCTCTCAAATGGATGATCAGGTCCTATTAAATTTTAGTAATGACCTTCAACTTGACTTTGCCAGGTAACACATTTCCAGGCTCAATTATCCCCCTTCAATAGATTTCAAAGGTGTTCTTTAGAAGCATAAAAGCGTTATAATTAGCGGAAGCCCTCGCTCATGTAATGTGCCAAACACAAAGCAGCTCAGTAGCTGCTAATTTCTTTGGCTGTCCTTACAGTTGTGTCTCATCTCTGTTGATCCTTCTTTCCTTCCACACACATACAGAAAAAAAAGACATGTTCACACATCCTAATACTGCTCACCAGCCGAGCTTGAGCCATGTGTGAAAGCCCTTTGTGTCTCTGTCTAACTCTTCTTCTGGTGAGACTCAAGAGTCGAAAGGAAAAACAACTTTTTTTCTCCTCATAAGCATACTCTGAAACATAACTAGTAGTTGGAGAAAAACTTGAAATGAGAAGGGGACACATTTCCACGCATGATGAAAAGCCAAACAAACCTGTCAAGGAGCCCTGAATATCCTTGAACCTGTGCAAACCTGCAAATTTAAATGGATTTCTGTAGCACTAAGACCAAAGTTTCACATTAAGATTAAAATGGTACGTTTAATTGGATATTTACACCAGCCTGCCCCCTCATTTGTGAACTGGACTACATCAACGAGATGTAAAAGCAAAAAGACATGCATGTGCATGTGTGTGTGTGTGATAACATTTTCATTTTAGATAATATACTGCAATCCAAATGAGCCAATAAAAAAAAAAACTTAATTTCCCTCACTTTAATTGAAATTCACCTAAATATATAATAAACAATTTATATTTTGAATATTATTCATGTAACTCAACTCTGTGTAATATTTAATTACAAAACCATAAAAGAAATTATACATTTTATTTATAAGCTGTTTCCAAGTTAATTATGAATAAATGGGACATGAACAATTAAGTCATCAATTTCTATTATTTGTAATTATTTGTAATTGCCAGCAATGACTAGAGTCATATTTCACTTCAAAAAGCAGTGAGTACATTTAAACTAAGCTGCAACTGTCCAATTAACTAATCATGAAGACAGCTAAACAAGAGAGAGTAAAGCGCAATGAGATGTTTGATTATTATGACCAGACACAGACAAAGACCAAGTTTAAGACCTGCCGTGCTGAATCGCCCAGCATCCCTCTCCCCTGTGACCTCATCACAAAGTTAACACAAAACAGATTGGGGCGACAGCGTCCTTCCCGTAGTCCAGCAGAGTTCAAAGTTACCGAAATAAACTAATCCCAAATAGTCTAGCATCCATCATAACTAAGCCAATAAAAAACCCCAGTTACACATAACACCCACCCTATAAAAGTTAACATCAATGAACTGGCCCCTAAACAAGTGTGTGCATGCTCACACACACAAACACACAAAAGTGCCTTTAGCAGAGCCAATTAAGATCAAGTCTTCTTTTAACTTGTCATGCTGTCTAAGCAACTGCAGAAATGCAGCCGTTATGGCCAATGAGCTGCCATTGTGATATGAGGGGGTTAACTGCCCTCTCCCTCTCTCTACAGGATATATGTCAGTGCTAATACTGAAGGCTTTAGCCAATGGCCCTGTGAAGAGTGACCAGGATCAAGACTAGATTGTTTAATGGCAAACTGGGAAGAAAAAAAATTATATGTATATATATTTTTTTTTTCTCACTACAAGAAGGGCATGAATAAAACAGTTTGCTTGAGGTTAGTGTAACGCTTCACAATTCAGTTTTCAGACCATGAAAAGCAAATGCAAAAATAAATATAGCTGCAAGCAGCAATTACCGGGGTTCAAGCACTTTAAGGCATTTACAGCTACACATTTTTTTTTATTTGACCAAAAATTGAGCTCATATACGTGTACCGAGTTTGGTGAAGATATGTCATTTTGTTCACAAGTTATAGCCTTTTTAGTAAAAATGGCCCCGTCCCTAACAGACGTTTTTGCATCCCTAAGCGTTATTTTTTAAAAAGCAGGATGTGAAGCGCTGTAAGAGACGAAGCGTGAGACTTGCAACATCTGAAACAGGAAGGATTTTACACTGCATGTGTTTACACCTCTTGAATAATAGGGAGGAAGTCACTGTTTAAATTTGGCTGAGTGCTGTAATGTGCAAACGGATCCCCAACAGAGGCTTTCTGTCACTGCAAACCGACTCGTCACACGCCGGGATTTCCACACTACGTCTGGGACGACGTCTGCAAAGCACTGTCACACTGCATGAAAGCATTTTTATGATGTAATCACTGAAACATGAATCAAAAAATTCCCCATACTAAAGTGTCTTAAGCAGATCAGCAGGAAATTGTCATTGGTTTATGGTATTTTTTGATCAAAATAAATGCAACCTGCAACACTGAAAATTCCAAAAAGAAAAAGTGCACTTTAAATACCCGGATGATGCACTTAAATAACCGAAAAAATGAAGTGGGTAACGTTGGACACTTCAGGCACTCAATTGTCGCAGCTTTAATTACGTACCGAAGGGGGAGGGGCTATGAGACTCCGATTATGAATGACAAAATAACCGTATATAACTCATACTATATATGGTTAAGTACATAGTGTATGAGTGCATAGTGTATAGTGCATCATTTGGGACGCAGCTATTGTCTGGTGGAAGAATACTGTTTTTATTAATATCATTACACTTTATTCGCTCTGTTTTATTTTGTGAAACCTTACTAAGTATATATAATAACCGTTTTATAAAAGCAATAAGCCCCGTGAAGGCATGGTTTACAGTGAATTTATAACAAGCTAAGGGGCGTTGTTAGGCACGACGCAAAGCGGAGTGCCTAAAGCCCCCTTAGCTGTTATAAATCTATTATACAATCTCATTTAGATTAAAAACTGCTCATGCAGCATGTATGCAGCATCTTTGTTTGGCTCATGATTAAAATCCAGTGGTTGCCTCTAACTGAATGGAAAGAGCACAGACAAAGCCTATTTGTTTCCTTATATGAAGAGATTTCTTTTATTTGTGTTATTTATTTATTTGATTTGGGGGGGGTTTGTTTTAAAGGGGTCCTATTATGCTCTTTTACAATGTCTTGAATTTGTTTTGGGGGTGTACTAGAACATGCTCTCATGCTTGGTGGTTCGAAAAACGAAAAGTGATTTTTTTTAAACAAAATATCTCCCTTTGGAGTGGACTTTGAGATTTGCAAGTTTGAAGATCTTTTATGCCCAAACATACACACTACACACTGACTAAAATTCAAAAAGTGAAAAAGCCTAATAGGACCCCTTTAAATTTTCACGTTTCAATTTCACAAAGAAATGTTCAGCATTTCGTCCAAGCAATAATAAATGGACATCTTTTCATTTATAATTTGTCTTAAATCTCATTGTTAAAAAAAAATACAAATAAAAAATTGTGAGAAAATTGTATAGTGAAATCAGTATCGTGAATCATATCGCATCGTAAGTTGAGTGAATCGTCACATCCCTAAATAATAATTAATCTAAACATTTGCTTGCAGAGTTGGTTTTAGTTCTATAATATTAGTGTAAAACTGAATATGAAAACACTAAATGTGGACAAATAAACAAGTAGACTGTTTTTACATCTTTGATTTGAATCATTCATATCACTTACATCACTGTGCATCAGACTAACATTCCTACATGTATGTGTGTTTGCTAAAACACAGATTAGCAAAAAAAAGATTCTTATAACCTGGATTATCTTGATACGACCAATTCCAACATGTACGACAAACCAGATTGGTCATCACTTACAGAGAGAGGGACAAAGACAGAGACAGTGTGCTGCTCATAAGAGATAAAAGAGCCATAGGCTAATGCTGAAAAAGATGTAGAGAACAGAGACGGGGATAAAAACAGACACGAGGTCATGAGCGGCCAATTATCCTGTCGGTAGTAATGCACTCAAGCCTGTGATCACCACAGGGTCATCCGTACTACACGCACCTGAGAGAGAGGTGTGTGGCGGTGCGTTTTAACTTGGCAGACAAGTCTGTTTGTGCTCTCGGTGTGAGTCCTTCACCTCTTGGATGCTGGCACGTGGTCTGACACAGAAAACAGATGTAAAACACATTATTTCCTTGAACAAAAGTTCTCACGTGTTATTCCTTTCCTTCAGACTTTTCCCTCCTCTACTTCCACGCAGCAGCCTTTCAGCACCCGGCGGTCCATTATTAGCTGTAAAAATCCCACTTTCATTACCCCATTGTCATCAAGATGCTCAAATCAGCATCCTTCAACACCAAACCTTCACCTTTTCATTTCTGCTCGTCTCCTTTTCTTTTTGCCTCCACTTCACATCTCTGCAAAATCTCCCAGTGTCCTTCTCTGCCCATTAAAGAGGTCCATTTTATTTTTCTCTTCCTGCTCTTCCCTAAACCACTCCATTTCCCCATTTGAATCACTTCACTTATGCGCCGCCTAGATTGAAGTATAAGTGTCCCTGAGGCTAATTTAAGCTTTCCAACAAAATACATGCATTATACCAAAAGTACAAAACAGCCATATAAAAATGTTGTTCCACTTCATCAAGGTCTAACATGTCTTTTACCCACCACCCGAATGTTTCTTACCTACTGGTGATGAGGCAGAGATGTGGCATCACGTGGCAGTCTTTCTCTCCCTCCAACAGAAGTTCTCAGCTTCACAGATTGTGTGGAGTGCGTCTATGAGTTTTGATTTTCAATGATACAAAAAAGAGATCTGAGAAAAGAAGCAGAAGAAAAGAGAATTGTGAAAATGCTGTGAGGTCATCGAGACATGCCACAAAATGAGAGTACAGATAAAGGGAACCACAAAACTGAAACCATCCGATTTTAACATTAGAGCAAACATAAAAAAACAATGCTATGAATAATTTTATAATAAAATGTACATTTCATAACACTGTAACAAATGGATTTTAATTTTACTTTATATCTGAAACTTGGCCACAAACCAAAAGACATGGTTATTCATCACAAATGAATAGGTCTGAAAGAAAGCTGCAGTTATGTAACACCTGAGTAACAAAAACTGTAAAAGTATTATTATAAAACAGAATTTTTATAATAACATTTTTGACTTTGAGTACAAACTGTTTACATGTTTTTCTCCATCATGAAATCAGCCCACAACAATGCTAAAATGCCTTGCCAAAGCACTGGATGATGATCAGGTATTTAAGGCGGAGGAACAGCTCAAGGAGAGTTGATCGGTCTGAAGCCCTGAAGGACTCGGACCAGTTCAGAAATCAATCCCATCATCCCCTAGACATGACATCAAACACAAGCTCGGCAGTAACTGCTCTACACTACCAGGGAAGCCCAACTCTCCCCATCTTAACACCATTACCATCCAAAAACCTGCTCACAGCAATACTGAGGGCTGGATTCTCCATTCCTTCAGCTAGTATGTGTGTGTGTGTGTGTGTGTGTGTGTGTGTGTCCAGTGTAGTACAGCAGGTGTAGGTGTGAATTGAGAGATTTCTGGGTCACATGATGCACTCACTGATGACTGAATTAAGCCCTTTTAAGATGACTCATGTCATTGAACTCCAACGCTTGGGAGCAAAGCATCAGCTACAGAACTTCCGGTCAAGTGTTTTAGTGTGCCACTCAAAGTTCAGATGATTTCAACGGCCCCACTTGCCGCTGACATTTCAAAGAGCAACCAATAGGGATGCTCCGATCAGGGTTTTTGCAGCTGATACCGAGTACCGATTTCTATTGATATCGAAGAAGGTGTACCGTCGATAAATATTGATACCGTTTTATCGCCCAGGCCTACGTTCTATGTTTCTTATTTATTTGGTTCCACAGTGTTTGCTGATTTTCAGTTTTATATACCTATTTAAACTTTGTGTAGCCTAAGTAATTTGTTATTTTATTAGGCATATATGATGTATTTTATTCATTTTGTTAATAAAAGTTCTGAGTTTGACGTTGTTGTTACTTGAATTGAATCAACGCCGAATTGCCGCTAATTTGAAAGTGAAAGTAAAACGCACACTGCGCTTTTTCAAGCTATTTGAAAGCCAAGAAATCAGGGAAAACTCAAACGACCAATTGCTTGATGCCGAATTGCGGCAATTCAACTGCCGCTAATTTGAAAGTGAAAGTAAAATGCACACGGCATTTGAAAGCGAAGAAAAGAGGGAAAACTCTAACGAACTAACCAACCGCCCCCCAACCCCAACGGTGATACCGGTATTTCCTCACCGTCACAACACTACCCCCAGATTAATTTTGCCTCAATAATGTTTCACTGTCGCCTCATTAACATGAAATGTTTCAAACAGTCATATCAATATGTATGTATTAGGGGTGTGCTCAAATAGTCGAATATTCAATCTGTAATTATTATTCGAAAAATAATAACACTAATCGAATTTATCTACATGTTGCTTTGCTAGCCGTAAATACAGGGAATCCATGATAAATCAAGTAATTTATTTATGTTATTTATATGTATGATGTATAAATCTCAATTTCAATCTCAATTTCAAAATGACCCTTATGACTGGTTTTGTGGTCCAGGGTCACATTTGTAAATTACTTATAGCACTCATGTCATTCCAAAACTTTATGAATATTTTGTGGATCATTCTTTAGTTTTAAAGAATGTTCACTTTTCCATTTAAATGAATGTGAATGGGAAAAGATGCTGTAGAGCTCAAAAATGCACTATAAAGTGTGCTTGTGTGCTATAATCGAAGTCTTCTGAAGACTGTTCTCATTTTATGCTTCATGAACGAAATATAGTCATATGGGTCTAGAGCGACATGAAGGTGAGTAGATGGATTTAAATTTTTGGGGTGAACCATCCCAACTGTGTATAACTTTCAAATATGATCAACTTAAAACCACATATGTCAGTTGCCCTTCCCATAATACAAAAGCAAACACATTCGAGGCATTTCAAACCAGTGCAGCTGTGCTACGCTTCACATAATGCTCTCTGACTGAAGAAGAAAGTTATTATGCCATCTAATGAGCTTTAGAAAGCCAATTCCTTGACATGCACAATAATAATTAAAATTGATACTGAGTCTGAGCGTATCTATTCAACACAAAATAATCACAATACTATTGATTTTCACGCCTTTACCACAAAGAGTCGAAAACAGAAACAAGTCCCTTCATCTGACAAAGGATAGATGAAGGTTAGACAGGGCTGTGTCTCAAAATATAGTGAGCTGCCAACATGCCACTCGGCATTTCTGGGTGTCACAGACTCATCTATGATGTCTATCCCAGTAAGTTTTGAAAGACTTTTGAAAGTTTCGATAAACACAAATCAGAGACAAAAAGAAGTTCCCTGATGTACTTCTCACAAAGAAACAGCACAAAAACAGATCTTCTCAAAGGTGAAGGTGCAAGCACACCAGGGACAGATCTAGACAGTAATTTTTAGGGTGGCATGGGGTCTATGAGGGGTGGCAAAACCAAAGCAAGCCCCCATGCATAGTTTTTGGGGATTTATGGTCTGACATACACAGTTGTGTTCACAAATATTGTATTACCATTAAGAAATCATCTATACTGTTTAAAATGAAAAATAAATAACATTTCAATATCCATCATGGAACCAAGTCAATACACAACATAAAAAACTTCAACAGGTTATACATGTTTCTGAGCTTGTATCACTAAAGAAGACATGTGGTTCTATTAAAATTACATAGGCTACTTAGATGGTATAATCATGTTTAGTGCAAGTTTAAGAGCAACAAAAACTTTTGAATTTCTTAACATTAGAAAGAAATACAATAATATCAAAGCACTGAAACTGGATCAGTTTTAAAAACAATGTTTGATTTTCTGTTATTAACAAAGGTGGGAATGTCTGTAATCACCCAGAACAAACTCTATCAACCATATACTCTAGCAAAACTGGGGTCATATGGGTCTTGCAATGGGTCTTGCAACTGCATAGCAAGAGCCTAGCAACCATTTGCAAACACATTTGCCATAATATTAATTCCTGTTAGATTTTTGTGTATTACATAGAGAATTGTGTGTTTCGCAAAAAGTGTTGGAAATTAGTGTATGGTTTCCAGATTTGGTGTGTGCTTCTGGTGTTTGAGTGTCAGCTTTCAGAAATTGTGTGATAAGTAAAGATTTTGTGTGTAAGCAGTTGAAAAAAATTCAAATACACAGTTGACTTTCCTGCCCAGGGAACACTGAGATCAATAACACCGTAACAAAAAACTCTTACTAAGATTCAGGAATTATTTTTGCATCTCAATGTCTATCACAGTATACATAAATTAAATTACAGATACAGATGTATAATTCAGCAATGAACTTTTGGGGAAAAAATTATTTTCATTTTACTACTGTAAAGTAATCTAGACACTATAAAAGTTCAAATGCCAAAGAATTGTATGAACTTGGCATGCACCACAATACAGTAAAAAATAAAATTAAAAAAGTAAATTTAGCATTCTCTGCACATTTGGCCAAATTTCATTACAGTATACAGTACTATAGCAGTTTCTTGGTCTCCTGACAAGACTAGCTATATCTCTAGGCAGTCATTTCTCAGTTCTGCAAAAATGCAGTACACATAAAAAATGGTTACAAATAAAATTTGACAGTCACACGCTTGAAGGTGTACAACATGTGCTACAGTTTACTGTACATATAGAATAGTGAAATCGCGATCTCGATTCCATTTCGATTTATTGTGCAGCCCTATTGCCAACTTAGCAATTTTGTTGCTAAATTTATACAATTTTCAGACTATGTACACTGTTAGACTTTGCTGTAATTTTACAGTTACTTACCGCAAAAAAGCTCAGTAAACTACCATATATATGTTTTACGGTTAACTACTGTAATATGCACTGCATTATGGGTATTTTTATGCCATTTACAGTCATTTACTGTATATGGGAATCTGCGGTATTTACTGTTTGCTCAAAAGCAGTAGTGCTACTGTAAATTGTTCTGCTAATGAAAAACATGAATCTGCATTCTCAATATAATGTCTGGGTAAGCACAAGTGTGGTGAAATAAATGCATTTTTAAAATGATTAAAAAATAAAATATATAAACTTTGCTTACACCCCACAAAATTTAAATTTTATTCA